AGTGCTCCGCCCCGCAAACAGCACCACCACCGCCGCAGCCTCAGCATAGTCCCCGAGTGCAATGGCGCCCACGGCGGCCAGGCTCATGAGCAGGTTGATGTCGAACACCTGCGGGAGGGAGGAGGCGGCAGCGGGGCAGGGGATCAGGGCAGGGGCTGGGCTGGGCTGGGCGCGGGACGGAGGCCGAGGCGCCGGGAAGCCGAGGCGCCGGGCAAGGCGGCCCCAGCTGCAGCAGGCCACTGCCCGGTGCGTGGCCAAGCGGGGCGAGGACCCGCCGCTTGCCCTGCCCTGTCCCGCCCTGCCATGCCATGCCCTGTCCCGCCCCGCCATGCCCTGTGCGGGCGCTCACCATGCGGCGCAGCGCCAGCAGCGCGCGCAGCGCGATGCGCGGCAGGCAGAGGGCCACCGCCCCGAGCGACACATACTTGAGATACTCCAGGCCGGGGGCGCCTGTGGGGCCTGCCAGGTAGTGTAGCAGCGACACGGCCAGCAGCGCTGCGGCCGCCAGCACGTGCCAGGGCGGCACCCAGCGCCCGCGCACCTGCGGCGGCGGCGGTGGCGGCGGTGGGGTGGACATGCCAGGTCAGAGCAGGCAGGCAGGTAGGCGGGCAGGCTGAATGCTGGCTGTCCTTAGCCATCCAGCGCATCACAAACCCGCGGCCCCATGGGCCGTGCAGGCCGGCAGCGCAGCAGGCAGAGGCAGCGGGTGCGCCGGGGCCGCGGCTCCCTCCAGCCAACCTTGGCCTGCTTGCGGGGCGGCGACAGCGAGGCCTCCAGCATCGCGCCGTTGAGGGCAGCCACCAGCGCGGCGGGCGGCGCCAGTGAGGGGTCATGAGACACAGCCACCGTCTGCGTCATGACAGACACCTCCACCTGCGCGGCGGCGGCGGGGAGGAGAGCGGGGAGCAAGGCGGGGAGCAACGTGGGCTCGTTATGGGTGTAACAGATACACAGACAGACAGAAAGAGCGACAGGCAGACAGGAGCGGTCGTCGGCGGCAGGAAGGAGAAGCGGAGGCAGGAGCGGGTAGCGCGCGGGCGGGCAGGCGGGGGCCAGGTTAGGTGGCGGCCGCCGGGCGCGGCCGTGTCTCGGGAGGGGCGGCGCAGTCTGGCGGGGCGGCGCCAGCCGGG